ACACACACACACACACACACACACACACACACACACACACTCCTCCAAAAACTCAGAAGGCACTATGTAAATAGTCTATAAAGGAGTGTGAATGTGTGGGGAACCCTTATGCCCCAGAGACTTTGATCTTCCAAACTCTCTGAACCAGGGGGAAATAAATAAGTCAGCCATGGGCTCTGCTTCAGCTCCTGTCTCCAGATTTATACCTTGACTTTCTGCCCTGACTTCGGGATTGTAAATTGCAATATTAAACAAACCCCTCCCCCAGGGTTGTTTTTGGTCAGAGTGCTTTTCATCACAACACCAGAAAGCAAACAAGGACAGACTACTGTAGAAGAATTAAAGCATGTTATTTCATTTGAATTTCTGATAAGAATCAATAACCTTTGGATTCAGTGATAATGAAATCACCGGTTGCATTATTTTTAGTTAATATTTCTTAGCAAATGAATCCAAAGATCAAAGTAGGCCATGCTAACTGCTAAGGTAGAGAGTGCACCTGACTGTTGTCACTGTGGGTGGAGCACAATAATGTTTTCATTGGCTGCAAGGCTAAATCCACCCCTTTCCCACTGCTTAAGCACTGTAGGTTGGCCTTCTTGAATCACAGCTGGGCAGGGAAGGGAGCTCATCAGACTCAGCCCTGCAAGGTGCAGCACACACAGCTGAGAATAAAGCGCAAAAGAGACTTGATTAAAGAAAACAGCAATGGACCTGGTCCCAAACTTTTCCATGGAAACCTGGATGCTCCTGGCTACTGGCCTGGTGCTCCTCTACCTGTGAGTAAACTGCCAGGCTCCTCTGCGTGATCAGGACTTGGGGATTAGATGATTTTCTCCTCTACCTGTTTGGAAAAATGCAATGAGAAAATGAAGGGGATGTTGCTTGAGTGTGGGATGCTAAGACCTAAGGTGTTGCTGTTGGTCTTATGTAAAGAAAGAGAGCTCAGAGCATGAGCCCTCTAACTTGGAATTAGTGTCCCCATGAAACAGAAGTGACCCTCCAGAGACCCCCTCCCTCTCGATCCCCCCCACCCCCCCCCCCCCCCCCCGTTATCCAACCAGAGCTCAGCAGAAGCAGATTACAGATAACTGGTCACTGTGGATGATGGGGGCCTCTTCCGCAATGTCTCAGGATTGTGGGGCTGGGAGTACATTTTGTGTTGTCTACACCCATGCCCTCTGATGCAGGAGATGTATAGTATTGCCCGCGTGCACGTGGCTAGTTTCTGATCCCTTGTCTCACCTCTAGGACCATTTATACAGTTCCCCAGTGTACCCCAGGCTGTATGACAGGCTCAATTTATTCCTAGTTTTGTTACCGTTCCCTGGAGCTGTCTATCTTTCCCGAGCTCGATCCCCCTGTCTATAACATGTTGAACTATTTGCTTTTAAGTGATGAATCTTTTTAATGTTATATTTGGTCATTTTATTTTATATGAGTGTTTTGACTGCATGTATGTGTGTGCACTACATGTGTGCTTGCTCATGGAGGTAGGTAGATGACATCTTATCCCTTGGAACTAAAGTTACATACAAATGACTGTGAGCCGCTATGTAGAACCTCTAAAAGAGCAACAAATGCTCTTACCCCTAGAACCATCTCTCTTGTCCCCGTAAGTGATGAGTCTTTAGAGCAAAGGAGACCCAACTTTGATTCTTTCCCTTCAAATCCCCTAGTATAAATAGGAGCATAAGGAGGATGTCAGTAGCTCCCCAGCTATGAGAGCTACTGACATCCTCAAAAGGCAGACATTCTGAAACAATTAGGATGTTAAATTATTCCCTCTAAGTTCTACTGGGACCATCAGTCAAAACATCCATACCAGTATTTCCTTTCAGTGAAGGGATTCCTGTACAAGTGAGGGGAGGAGAGATGTTATCCTGAGTTCTAGAGGTCAAAGTGTATGTGACCACCATCCTCAGCTCTTTCTACTGCAGCTATTTTCAACCTGTGGGTCTTGACCTCTTTGATGTCCAATGACCCTTTCTCAGGGATCACATACCAGATATCCTGTATGCCAAATACCATAGTAAAATTACAGTTATGAAGTAGCAATGAAATAATGTTATGGTTGGGGGTCACCACCACATGAGGAACTGTATTAAAGGGTCACAATGTTAGGAAGGATGAGAATCACTGTACTCTCTCTCTCTCTCTCTCTCTCTCTCTCTGCCTATTAGTCTATGGGTTGTAGATGCCCCCTCTCTCACACACACATCACATTTGACGTCTATCGCCATTTTACTCTAAGGAGAGGTAGACATTTATAATGATGTGAAAAGGAAAAATTCAGATGTGGTTTTATTCTTTAAAGAAATATATAAGTATTTAAAGTATTGTGGCAACATCTTTTCCATTTGATAACATTTTACAATTAATTGAAATGTTTCATTTCCTTCTATTCAGCCCTAGAATTTCTTTGAAATAATCCCAGGACCTTTCTTCAAAAGGTTAAAGTGGGGATGTTGCTTTCAATATTTGTGATATATTTATAGTAATTTCATTTGTTTATAATAGTGTCAGGAATGGGAGTCTAATGCATAAATGAATACATATCATAAAATACATACATACAAAGCATGTGTGCTTTGAAATAAACTTGCTTATCAGGTTTAGAAAAATCATCAGTGTTTGATATACCTGTCTGTCTGGTCATGCAAATAAATCCTTTAGTACGGTGTATAAGGAAGAGCATACCATCAGGTATGAGTTAGGAGGAAGTGGAGAATATGTCTCTTTTCTCAAGAGAATTCTCAAACACAATTGCATGTTGTGACTCCCACTGAAGATCACTAGAAAGACAGCTGATTAGTATCCAATCAATTTCCTAAATAAAAGGAAGTGAAAAATGATATATAAGAACTCAGATTGGATGTCACATGAGCACTCAAACCCAAGTCTCCAGACACTTATTAATGATCAACTTTAAGATTTACAGCCCCCAAATTTTACTTACTTTTAAGATAACCTTTGTGGTCTTTGAGTGTCCTACAGAGAACTCTAGAGAAGTGAATGTAGGGGATGCTGTAGGCACACCTGCAAGGGCGTGGTCAGGGTTACGTAGGGAAGGTTTAAGAGTGAGGGATGCTCACATGGGGGGGGGTCTGCTTTCGCCTTCATCTTCGGCTTGCTGTACTTACTGCTGCCCTGCCGGGTGGCTAGGTCTCTCTGTAAGTAAGGCTTTTCTCTATTAAATTCCCTTGTATTTTTATCTGGCTCCGTATTGGTAATTTCCCACATTAAGTGAAGACCAAAAGTAATTAATTTCTGTTGGAGTTTTTGTTATTTGTTGCCTACATGTTGCCTCCTCTGTTTGAATTTATAGTGTCTGTATCCATGATTGCTGAGCCACTATAACATTCGACGACAACCCCAATGTACTAGTTTTCTCTTTCACTTCACAGGTATGGAACCCATTCACATGGACTTTTTAAAAAGTTGGGAATTCCTGGGCCCAAACCTTTGCCTTTCTTGGGGTCAATTCTTGCTTACCGGAAGGTGAGTGTACATTGGACTCCCTATCTTTCCTTTTATAGTTGCCAAGACTGGCTTAGTTTCATCAATACAAAGGCAAGATCTGGAGCAGAACTGAGGTAGAATTTCAGAAACCATGTTTGGTTTCTGTCTGAAACAAGATCAGCTTTTCTAAAGCCTCACTGTAAGTTTTTGGAGGATCCAGTTTGGCACAGTTGATCAGCTCAGACCTCTGACATATTAATATTCCTGTTGAGGACTTGATGTTCATACTTGTAATCCCTAAAGGGCAATGTCCTTTGTCCCCAGTGCAGATTTTAGCAGGGGACAGTTATGTTTCTGGAATTTTTATTTGCAAAATTAAAATTTACAACTAAAACTTAGCTAAAGTTTTCTTTTTAAGTTTCAGAGACTCAGAACAAATATTTAATTTCCAATGTTATGTGTAGAGGAGAAAGTGTTTTCCTTTGTTGTGTTCTGTGTAGAGGGTGGCATCTTCCCTTTTCCCATGTTGCCAGGGAGCCATTAAGGCAAATTCTTTTATTTTTTAAAAATATTTTCATGCATATGGTTATTTTGCCTGCATACAAGTCTGTGTATGAGTGCTGGGTACCCATAAAGGTGTCCCCTTAGAACTGGAGTTACAGACAGCTGGCATGTGGGTGCTGTGAACTGAACTCTGGTTCTCTGGAACAGCAGGCAATACTCTTAATCACTGTGCCATCTCTTCAACCACCATTGCCAGTTTTTATTAGTTACTTTTTAAAACATTTTTTAAAAATTAGTAACAAGCTTGCTTCACATGTCAGTCCCAGCTCTCTCTCCCTCCCCTCCTCCCCCACCTCCCACCAACCCCCCCAAACCCTCACCCCATTCCCCCCTCTGCTCCCCAGGGAGAGTGAGGCCCTCCATGGGGGAATCTCTAAAGTCTGTCCTAAAATCCCAGGCAGGGCCTAGGCCTCCCCTGTGTGTCCCATTGTCATTATTATTCACTTGCCTTCTCTCTCAGCAACTTGAGACTTGGTTCTCCAAGTTAAAAGAGGCCACAAGTTTCTTCAGTGTCATAATTCTTTTTTTAAAAAAATATTATTTATTTATTATGTATACAGTCTTCTGCCTGCATGCCAGCAGAGGGCACCAAATCTCATTCAAGGTGGTTGTGAGCCACCATGTGGTTGCTGGGAATTGAACTCAGGACCTCTGGAAGAACAGTCGGTGCTCTTAACTGCTGAGCCATCTCTCCAGCCCCTAGTGTCATCATTCTAATAGTCTTCTAAGGGAGGGGTCATGAAATAAATGAAAAAGATGCTGAATAAGGAGTTAAATGGATCTCACTGGCATTCCCTTAGCTTTCATTCTCCTTCTGTGTCTATGGAAGGAACAATTCACAAAGTCTGAGAATTTTAGGGATAATGCGTAGAGAAGCAAAATCTTTTTTGTGTACTTTTTATTTGAATATTTTTCAATTTACATTCCAATCCCAGTTCCCCCTCCACCCCCTTCTCCCTCACCCCCATCCACTCCTCAGAGAGGGTAAGGCCTTCCTTGGGGAGTTGACAAAATATGGCATACCAATTTGAGGCTCCTCTCCCTACTATCAAAGCTGGTGGTATCCCACCACAGGGAATAGGCTCCAAAAAGCCAGTTCATGCACTTGGGATAGGTCCTGGTACTACTGCCAGCCCCGCAACAGATTAAGCCATGTAACTGTCACCCACATTCGGAGGTCCTAGTTCAGTCCCATTCAGGTTCCCCAGCTGTCAGTTCAGGCCCATGAACTCCCACTAGCTTGGGTCAACTATCTCTGTGGTTTTCCCCATCATTGTCTTACCTGTCTTGTTCATATGGTCCCTTCTCCATCTCTTCAACTGAATGAGAAACAAAATATTTAGAGACATGTTGTTAGCTGTGATAGTGAAGAGTGAGTAGCCAAGCCTGTGCAATGGTGTTAGCAATTATTCACAGCCAAGGGTGAGATTTGTGCATTTCCCATTTCATACACACCTAGCATTTAATCTCCTTTCCATTCAGACATCGGTGAATAAGAATGCCCCTCTCACTTTGGGGATCCACCATGGAGGGCCTCATCCTCCCTGGGGAGCAGAGGGGGGATGGGATGGGGATTGGTGGGGATGGGGGAGGAGGGGAAGGAGAGAGAGATGGGATTGCCACGTGAAACAGGCTTGTTTCTAATTTAAATAAAAAATAAAGTTCATTATGTATACATAAAAATAGTGAAATAATAAAAGGTTAAATACAAAAATAAAGAATGTCACTCTCAATGTCATTGAGGGACAGTAAGCTTGATTTTGTAAGATTCATATCACTTGTACCCCAACTAGAGGTAAGAAGAGTATATTTAAAATAGTTATGGATTCTCATTTTCTTTCTCTTTCCAGGGTTTCTGGGAATTTGATGTACAATGTGGTAAAAAATATGGGAAAATGTGGGGGTGAGTATTATGGCAACTTCCACCGGGAAGATTTAAAATGTTGACAAAAGCCTACAGGATCTTGAGTGTAAGCGATGTATTATGAAGATTTTTTGGGACTTTTCCTAGCAAAGGTCCCATACGTCTCCCAGTGTCATGATTCACAGACTGAATTTGGCTGAGAAAGTTTCAGTCCAGTGTCTGGATATGTCACCATTTTTGTACTCAAATTACTCAACTTCAATTTTCCATTCACTTAATATCCTTTTTGGTAATCTAATATTTTGATCATGCAAAATTATGAAAAATAGTATATGGGTGATATTAATGTATGCTCCATTCAGGCTTAACAAATGTTCCAGTTTAGTTCTAATTATGACTTCTTTGTAGTGCGATTTTGTGTTTACCTCTTCCCTGTGTGAGCTATATTACACTTCATTTTGTGAGATTTGAGTGAGCCATGGTCAGAATCCCAGACTTCAGCTAGGTGTTCATGTTGCGGCATGTTGTATAACTAAGCTGTTGGTTATATAACATCTGGATCAGATTCTGAGTTTCTGGGCATGTCTCTAACTAGTAAATCTAGATGGCTGGGTTTAATCCTCTCTGCTTTGCCAATGCAGGTTTTATGAGGGTCGACAGCCCGTGTTGGCTATCACTGATCCAGACATGATCAAAACAGTGCTGGTGAAGGAATGCTATTCTACCTTCACAAATCGGCGGGTAGGCATCTGTTTAAAATATCTCGATCTCTATTTATATATTAGGGTCTTTTTGATGCATGCATGTTTACATGCATGCACATGGGTATATGCACATGTGTGCTGATGCTATCCCATATGGAAGTCAGAGAAGAATGTTGGATGTCTTGCTCTATTCTTATTCTCTTGAGACAGGGTTTCTCACTGAACCTGGAGCTAGGCTGTCAGTCAGCAAACACTGGCAATTCTCCTGTTTCTGCCCCTAACAGAGCTGGGGTTACAGATGCACAGGGCCACATCCAGCTTTTTAAAATTTTATTTATTTCTTTTTATAATTGTAATTAGACCAATTTTAAATTAGAAACAAGCTTCTTTTACATGTCAATCCCAGTTCCCTCTCCCTCTCCTCCTCCCCCCCGCCCCCCCATCCCAACTCCTTTCTGCTCTCCAGGGAAGGTGAGGCCTTCCATGGGGGATATGAAGAGTCTGTCATACCATTTGCATCAGGGCCTAGACCCTCCCTTGTATGTATAGGCTGAGAGAGTATCCCTCTATGTAGAGTGGGCTCCCAAAGTCCATTCGTGTACTAGGGATAAATACTGATGCACTACCGGAGGCCCCATAGATTGCCCAGGCCTCCAAACTGACATCCTCATTCAGGGGATCTGGAACAGTCTTATGTTGGTTTCCCAGATATCAGTTTGGGGTCCATGAGCTCCGCCTTGTTCAGGTCAGCTGATTCTGAGGGTTTCACCAGCCTGGTCTTGACCCCTTTGCCCATCACTCCTTCCTCTGTGCAACTGCATTCCAGAGTTCAGCTCAGTGTTTAGCTGTAGGTGTCTTTCTCTGCTTCCATCAGATACTGGATAAAGGCTCTAGGATGGCATATAAGGTAGTCATCAATCTCATTATTGGAGAAGCGCTTTTAAGGTAGCACTGAGAAGAATGTATATTCTTTTGTGTTTGGCTGGAATGGTCTATCGATGTCTGCTAAACCCAATTGGGTCATAACTTCTATTAATTCCTTTGTTTCTTTGTGATTTGAGTTTTAGTAATGCTTCTTTTACAAATGTGGGTGCCTTTGTATTTGGCGCATAGATGTTCAGAATTGAGAATTCATCTTGATGGATTTCTCCTTGATGAATATGAAAAGACCACCTTCATCTCTTTTGATTGATTTTAGTTTAAAGTGTAGTTTGTTAAATACTAGGATTCTACACCAGCTTGTTTCTTGGGTCCATTTGATTAGAAAATCTTTTCCCAACCCTTAACTCTGAGGTACCATCTGTCTTTGAAGTTGAGGTGTTTTTTCTTGTATGCAGCAGAAGGATGGATTCTGTCTTTGTATCCATTCTGCTAGCCTGTGTCTTTTTATAGGTGAGTATGAGGAATGTTAATGACCATTGATTATTCATTTCTTGTTTGCTTTGGATTTGTTGTCATTGGTGGAATTTTGTGTGGATTTCCTCCCCTTTTTTCTTTTGGCTTTTGGTAATGCTTTTCTGAGTGTAGTTCACTTCCTCGAGTTGGATTTTTCCTTCCATAACCTTCTGTAGGGCTGCATTAGTGGATATGTATTGTTTACATCTGGTTTTGTCATGAAATATCTTGTTTTCACCATCTATAGTTATTGAAAGCTTTGCTGGGTATAGTAGTCTGGGCTGGCATCTGCAGTCTCTTAGTGTTGGTAGAATATCTATCCAGGACCTTCTGTCTTTCAGGGTTTCCATGGAGAAGTCAGGTGTAATTCTGATAGGTTTGCCTTTATATATTAATTGACCTTTTTCCTTAGCTGCTCTTAATATTCTTTCTTTATTCTGTATGCTTGGGTTTTGATTATTATGTGGTGAGGGGACTTTTTTTGAGGTCCATTCTATTTGGTGTTCTGTAAGCTTCTTGTACTTTCATTGGCATGTCTTTCTTTAGGTTGGGAAAATTTTCTTTTATGATTTTGCTGAATATGTTTTCTGTACCTTTGAGGTGGGTTTCTTTACCTTCCTCTATACCTATTATTCTTAAGTTTGGTCTTTTCACAGTGTCCCATATTTCCTGGATATTTTGTGTTAGGGATTTGTTGGACTTAAAATTTTCTTTGGTGGATGAATAGATTTCTCCTAGTGTATCTTCAATGCCTGAGAGTCTGTCTTCCATCTCAGAATTCTCTTGGTTATACTTGCATCTGTAGTTCCTGATTGTTTACCCAGCTTTTCTATTTCCAGCATTCCCTCAGATTGTGTTTTCTTTACTGTTTCTATTTCTTTTTTCAGGTCTTGAACAGTTTCCTTTATCTGATTTTTTCTTGGCTTTCTTTAATTGTTGATTTCTTTCCATTTTTGTTTATCTTCCATGTGAAGCTGGGAATTAAACCCAGGTACTCTGCCAGAACGGACAGAGTACATCCCCACACTAAGATTCAGATTACATTTTCAAGCATATTTTTTGCTTTAAATTCATCTAAACCAAGTGTTCTCAATCTTCGGGTCACAGCCACCTTGTATCTCTATCCCTTTGTGTTGAATGACTGTCTCAAGGGGCTTCCTAAGACCATCAGAAAACACAGGTAATATTACAATTCATAAAAGTATCAAAATTACAGTCAGGAAGCAGCAATGAAAATAATTTCATGGCTGGGGATCACCAGGACATGAGGAACTGTATTAAAGGGTCACATTGTTTGGAAGGTTAAGAACTACTGATCTAGTCTACTGATCTAGAACTACTGATCTAGACTTAAAGTTTTGATCCTCCTGCCTTAGTTTGCTGACTACCAACATTACAAATGTCCACCATTACACTGGCTCAACTATAAAATAGAGGGTTTTCTTGTGACATTTTTTATTTCTTAAATAGTTATTTTATATTTGTTTATGTGTATGTTTGTATGTGTGTATGCATATGTGTGTAGGTGGCCACAAAGGTCAGAAGAGGGTACAGGGTCCTTTAGAGCCATAGTTATGGTATTTATGAGGCACCCTGTGTGTGCTGGAAACCAAACTCCAGCCCTTTGCAAGAGCAGCGATTCTTTTTTTTTTTTATCAAATGGAATAAAAAACTACTTTTGTTATGTATGAAAATATTAAGAGGTCTGGAGAGACAGCTCAGCAGTTAAGAGCACTTGCTGTTCTTCAGAAGTTCTCAGTTACAGTCAAGACCATCTGTAACTCCAGTTCCTGAGGACCTGACACTCTCCACGGACTTCAACTGGCACTGTACACAGTACATATACATACATGGAGGCAAAACATTTATATACATAAAATAAAATGAATTTTAAGAATAAATTGAAGAAAATATAGAGAAGCTGAGAAGTAAACACTTTTTTAAGTGTGAATGAGTGTTTTGCATGTCTGTCTGTGTACCATATGTCTGTCAGGTGTTTGTGGAGGCCATTATGGTGTCAGATTCCCTGGAACTAGAGTTGAGACAATTGTGAGCTATTCTGTGGGTACTGGAAATTGAATTTGGGTAAAAGCAGTGATTCTTAAGTGCTGTGTCTTTTTCCAGTCCCTATAGTTTTGTTATATGTACATCATTAAAAAATATTATCAATATTGATAGGTGATACTCTTGTTTCTGAATGTGTCTGCATTAATGTGACCTTCATTTCTATCTATTTTCCTGCAAACAATATAATTTTGCTCTTTATGACTGAATAAAACACAATTTTGTGTGTGTGTCTATAGCATAATATTTTAGTATTCTGAATCTTGTGTTTATGAGAGTTGTGTATGTGTGTGTGTATGTGTGTGCACATGTGTGTGCCTGTGTGAACCTGCAGAGGTCCCAAGGAGGATGTTAAATGTCCTACTGTACTATGTTGTTTTGGCTAGTCTGGCTGACCAGTGAGCCATTGGTGCACTATGTACCTGTCTCCATTCTCCCAACCCTGGGTCACAGGCACCCATAGGCATAGCCAACATCTTTTAAAATGTGGCTGCTGCAGATTTGAACCCAGGTCCTCAGGGTTAAAGAACAGACACTCTTACCCTCAGAGCTCTCGCCCCAGTGGGTTGTTTTGATCTGTGAGTGCTTTAAGTTTCTTCATTTCTTCAAATTTCATTGATTTTTAATTTTTTTTATTAGTTCAAATTAGGAACAAGCTTGTTTCACATGTCAATCCTTTCTTCCTCTCCCTTCCCTCACCCCTACCCCAACTCCCCCACCCCCAACCTATCCCCACCCTATCCACCCTCCACTCCCCAGGCAGGGTAGGGCCCTCAACGGGGGCTCTGCAAAGTCCACCATATCATCCTGGGCTGGGGCTGGG